AAGACCCGTGGGCGCACCTGGGCACGGGCGAATCCGATCGCGACCAGCCGAGCCCACCGCGTGCACCTCCACCACCGCCTTCGCCAGGAGTCCCCCGACGCTTGCGTGGCAAGGACGAGGGCTTTGCCTGCCGCAGCACCGGGCGCAACCTCGCCAGCGACAAGCACTGCGACTGCTGCGTCTTCAAGCCGACCGAGCCCGGGCAGTCGTTCCAATAGCGAGCTTGCAATGGACCAAGCAATTACTAACCCGACGAACTGTTTCCCCAAGTTGCCTTTTCTTGGCTATCATTGGGCGCCCGCTGCGCCGAACCTCGCCGACTGGAAGTTCGCCCCGAACCTGCCTGAGTCGATTCCAATGGCGAAGTGGTACTGCCAGCAGTCGTCTTTTTCCAGCGGCGGTGTGGTATTTTGCTCAGTTACAATGGGAAGCTGATGATGCTGTTCGTGCTCTTCTGTCCGCGACATGGGTGGAACTTGCAATTGACTTCGCTATAGCTACGGGCCTCCCCTTGGTGACCCCCCCCAGGAGAGTGCTAGCGGCGCGGAGGTTGTCGGACTGGCGCGCTACCTCTCGACGGCGACTGCGCGGATGGCAAAGTTATGCATGTGTGAGTTGGCACCTCGACCTACCCGCGTGGAACTTAGCGCCCTCGCCCCCTTGGGGTTGAGGCTCGCGCCTGGCCTCAAGTGCAGATCTACGTCTGTGGCGCGCAACCGCGCCGCGCGAGTCCTGTGCGCCTTGGCCCTGGCCACCGCAGACCGCAAGGGTAGCCTCGATGTCGTCCCTGACTGGCGTTCGCCGCCGAAGCCGATTTGGGCTGCGCCGTTTCTCGTGGAAGATCTCAGCAAAGCAGTTCGCGCAAGTGATCTATCGAGACGCGCAATGGAATCAGTGGCTGACCTGGTGGAGAACGGCACCCACACCAAGCAAGTAATATCTGTTTAGGAACTTCGCAATGTTCATGAGTGGACCCCTGAAGAGACGCGTGAGTTCGATGGCCTGGCAGGCCGCGCCCTCATCGATGAGCAGAAGCGCCTCCTTCACAACAGAGAAGCTCGACTGCAGGGATATCACCTTTTGGGCCCTCTCATTGGAGGTGGACGAGACCAAGCACCTCGTATGTTCTGCATCACTTGCAAACAGAGGATGGAAGGTACTTAGCGCTTCAGTCAATGGCCACGCCTATTATGTACGCCTGAGGAACCGACTGGCTCACAGCGTTGTGGAGCCAAAAGAACCACAGACGACTATAATGCCCTGATCGTGGGAGGCCGCAAAGACGCTTGTGCCCAAATCCATCAAAAACCAAAAGGGAATCAATGATTTGGCCTCTTCGGGCCCTCCTGGAGGAGCTCTTGGAGGCCTCTTGGGCCGTCCTCGACGCCTTTTGGGAAGCCTCTTGGGCCGTCTTGGGCCATCTTGGAGGCTTCTTCGGCGGACTCGGAACCATCTTGCGCCCTCTTGGGCCGTCTTGGAGGCCATTTTGGGCCGTCTGGACCCCAATATCGTGATTTCACTTCCAGAAAGGTTCCGGCTCGGTTCGGTTAGGTTCAGAAGTGCGTCCGGTTCGGTTCGGTTCGGTCTGGTGTCGGAATTTTCTTGTTCGGTTCGGTTCGGTTCGTCGCTGTGAGGATTGCCTCCCGGTTCGGCCCAGCTCGCCATGCTTTCGGTTCCGTCTCGGCCCAGCTCGCCACGAGGCGCGCTTTGCCTCCCCTCTCCTCTTTTTCCTCTTTCTCCTCCTCTTCCTCCTCGTCCTCCTCCTTCTCCTCTTCTTCCTCCTCCTCCTCTTCCTCGTCCTCCTCCTCCTCCTGCTGCTCCTCCTCCCCGTCGTCCTCCTCCTCCTCCGCTTCCTCCTCCTCCTCCTCCTCCTCCTCCTCCTCCTCCTCCTCCTCCTCCCCCAGCGGGTCTTAACTGCAATAGTTTGGCGCTTCCATCGCCCCCTTAACTGGCACACCCCAATATAAAGATTGGGTCGAGGCTGTGTGAGTTTTATCTGCAGTACCAACCGGTGTGGGAAGCTGCATCTTCGATGCCACTTGTTTAAAAATAAGACAAGGCCCAATGATAGCACACCAGAGTTGCCTTGCCTTGCCTTGCCTTGCCTTGCCTTGCCTTGCCTTGCCTTGCCTTGCCTTGCCTCCTCTTCCTTTTTCTCCTCTTTCTCCTCTTTCTCCTCTCTTTCCTCCTCCTCCTCCTCCTCCTCCTCCTCCTCCTCCTCCTCCTCCTCCCTCCTCTTCCTCACTCCTTCCTCATGGGCATTCAGCACCGCGGCAGCATGTGCCTCCGCTGGCCGTCGCTGGCGGGGCCGCCCCCGCTGCGGCTGGCCGCCGCTGCTGGCCGTCACTGGCCGCTGCCATCGCCGCTAGCCGCGCCCAGACGACCCAAGGACCCCCCCCAGGGCCCCAGCACCAGAGGTTACTTTTGGAGGCCGTGGGGCCCCCGGACTCCCCCCTGGGGCCTTGGGACTTACCCAGATGGCCCCAGGTTTGCCTTCTTTTGGGTTCTGGGGCCCCAGGACCCCCTAGCCGGAGCCCCAGGACTTACCCAGACAGCTCCGGTACTTAGTTTTTCGGGGCCCCGCGGGGCCGTATAGGACTCCCCCTGGGGCCCCGGGACTTCCTCTGACGGCTCTGGGACTTACGTTTTCGAGGCCCCGACCTTTTCGAGGCTCTGGGGCCCGTGGCCCCCCCCCCTGGGGCCCCGGGACTTATCCAGACGGCCCCAGGACTTTTGTTTTCTGGGCCCGGGTGCCCCAGGGCTCACCCCCTGGGGCCCCGGCGCTTACCCAGACAGCCCCGGGACTTGTTTTTCGACCCCCCCGGGCCCTGGGACTCCTCCCTGGGGCCCCTGGAGTTAACTACCCGGACAGTCCTGAGACTTACTTTTGGGACTCACTTTTTCGAGGCTCTGGGGGGACCTACCCCTCGGGCCCCGGACTTACTTCAGAATCGAATCCGGTTCGGTTCGGCAAATCGCGTCAGCAGGTTCGGTTCGATTCCTGTTGAGATCAAAACCGGTTCGCGCCGGTTCGGTTCAGCCCGGTTCGGTTCGGCCAGGTCAGTTCGGTTTTGGAGCATTGCAGATTTTCCGCGAGGCCAGCTGGGCGGACGGGATGCCCAGGGGAGAGTTCTTTTAGAGTAGAGCCAAAACAAAACCAGTAGGGTCTAGCGCGCCAGACACCCCTGTGATGACCCAACAGGGGTCGGCGGATTAGTGGGCTTCGGACCATCACGCCACCGCTCTGGCCTTCGGTCCATCCCGCCACCGCGCCTGGGTTTAGGTCAGAGCCCTCTTGGATGCCTGTGGGGACCTCTTTGGAGGTCTCTTCGACACTCCTTGGAGGCGATTTTAGGTGTCTTGGGACTCTGGGGGCCCATCTTGGGTCCATCCTGGGTCTCTCTTTGGGCCTCAGGGGCTTCCTGGGCCGTCTTGAAGCCCTGTTGTGCCGAATTGGGGCCCTCTTCGGGGCATGGGGCGATCTTGGGGGCCTGTTGGGCCGTCCTGGAGCGTCGGAAGGCAGACACAATTATAACTATGAGATCCTTCGAACATCAACTGCAAGTCAATGATTTTGGCTTCTTTGGGCCCTCTTTCTTTAGGGGCCTCTTACAGCCATCTTGGGCCGTCTTGAGGGCCTCGTTGGACGTCTTCGGACCATCTTGGGCGTCACGGAGCGCTCTCGGGCCGTCTCGGGAGCTTCTTGGACCGTCTTGGGAGGCTCTTGGGGCCTTCTTGGCTCGTCTTGGGCCCCCCTGGCTTCAGGAGAAGTTTGGCGACAAAGCCTAGGAGCGCCCGTGGGTGCCCAGGAGCGCCCGGGAGCGCCCAGGAGCGCCCGGAATTCGGGGCCATGGGGCGCTGAGGCCCTTTGAAAAGTATCACAGTATTCAATACAGTGGACTCGAAGGACTGGAGGACACTGCACTTCGTTTTTCCGGGCAGTATTGCGAATACGCAAATCATTTGAGTGCTATGCTGCTGTGCTTTCGTACGCACAGAAGCATCACGCTAAGCTATGGCTTACTGTGCAATGCCATGCCATTCCGTCCTCATGCACAGCAATGTGTGCAACACCATGTTACCACTTGCCACGCTTTGCCATGCCATGCTATGCTACGCAATGTTGTGCAACCGTGCTGTGACCCGATGTGTGAGGCGATGCTATTCTAAGGATTGCTATGCAATGTATTGCATGTCGATGCTTCTCTTGTATCGCACCTTCTTGCTTCGCATGCGTCTGGCTTCAGCAGAAGCGATACGTCTGGTCTGGGTCGCGTCGTCTTCGCTGATGAGGAGCGGTGAAACGCCGCCCTGCCAGAAGGGGAAGAGCGGACCACGGAAGAGCATGATTTGCTGTACACAGGTGCGCCCGCGAGTAATACATCGCACTAACAGCTCGACAGCGCTTCCGCTTCATCGATCCCCCAAAATCGCCTGCGCCCGGAGAGCCTGTGGGACCACGGCTGCCAGGACGTGATCGCCAGTCCTGATGATAAGGCTTTCGGTTGCGCACAGACAGCCCCCCCAGGTATTCTCGGCTGGCCTCAACAGGCCCCCCCGAGAAGTCCCAGCTGGCCTCAACAGGCCCCCCGAGTAGTCCGGGGCAGTCTCAGCACCTCAACGGTGGGGCGCCGCTTGAGGCGGCGCCAGGGTATTGAGTCCGCCGTGGACTACTCGGGGCGCATGTTTAGGCAGCTGGGACTACTCGAGTGCGCCTGTTGAGGCCAGCGGCAAGTACTCGGATGGGGCTGTCTGTGTGCAAGCCGAAGCTTTGCCAGGTCTCGACGCCAGTGTGGAGCTGGCTGTTGCGGCGATGGCGCGACGGTGACATGGTGGCGAAGCGACTGGTGGAGACCACGGCCGCCGACGGCCGTCGACGACGACGACTGCCGTCGACGACGACGACGACGATGACCACCACGGCGACGACGATGATCACCACGGCCACGACGACGACAACGTCGACGACGACGCGGCCCTGGTGGCGCCTCTCCCCTAAGGTGGGCTCGACCTTCCTCACCGTCTCCGACCGCGCCGTGGACGTAGGTCTGCTGGCTGCGGAAGCAGGACGGCCTGCCTCGAATGATAACAAGCTGCATACGCAAAACCTTTTTAGACATCCAACAGTGTATGTTTATGCAGTTTTTATGTGTCGCTGCTAAAATCAGCCCGCTGAGTCAGGATGAGCAGCTTTCCAAGGTTACCCGTGCATCTTTGCCCTTCGGCCCATCCTTGGCCGCTTTCGCTGGCCGCGCTCCGCCCGTAAAAGTGTTGACATGGTCTTCCAAGGCGCTTGCATCCTTACCGCGCGCGTCCTTTTTATGCGATTACAAGACCAACCAGGAAATCCATAGGGGAACCAGGCAATCGGTGGGCGAACGGGGAAACTTTTCTGGGTCGAGCGGGGATTTTTTTTGGGTCGGATGGGGAAAGCCGAGGACGTCGAACGAGGACATTTTCCTTGCATTCTTTGTTTCTCCAAATTTACCTGGTGAGGGTCTTGGTGCATTTACAAGGCGCTCAGCCGTTTGTGCAATCCAGCACTTTGTAGTTTTTTTCTGGAGCGGCTTCGGATGTTACTTTTTTCTTGCCAGGGGCAAGAACATGCTGCTTTCGTGAGTTTTGTGCCACTGAACGGAAGGCGACTTGGATCGTCAGGGGATCAGTCTTGCGCACTGACGTAGCAGCTATGATGCTTCTTGTCGGGTCGTGGGCTAGGTTATGATGCCAATCCATGCCCATCCCTTCCCATCTCCACGGATTTCGCATCTCCGTATGATGGTGGAAAGGGAGATGGTCTGCCGCCCCCTGCCCTGCACGCATTGCGCAGGGTTGATGGGGATCTGAGTTGAATTCTATGATGAAGCCCACCGTATCTCTCCCTTGCTTTCCTGCTCCTGGTCCTGTCGGCGATGGCCCGGTCCTGCAGGGGTACACGAAAGCCTTGGGGGGAATGCCAAGTACCCGATCTGCTGCGAGCGTGGTGCCTGTGGGATCCTGTGGGTAGCTGAAATCCGCAATCCTCGACGCATCGAATTCCACAAATTGGAGGGCCGCACGGTAGGTTCGTGCGGCGTTGGCGCGCCAGCGACGCCAGCGAAGGCGTTCAAGGTCGAGTTTTTTCGACGCGGAAGCACCGAGGGACACGGCGACGCCATTGGACACGACAGAATCCAATCTTGAACGATCGGGGCTGTGATCGGTTCAAGGTTGAACGATCGACGCGGTGACAGAATTCTCCAGCACGGCTCCGCCAAGTGCTCGAACTCGGCCCGGCGGATCCTCTGACGCTCAGGGCGCGCTTTCGACCCAAGGCAGTGGCGCCGAGCACCACGAGGCCTCCTGGCATGAGTCGCGGCGCCAGGGGGGGTTGGAGGAGGGGGGGCGCAGGGGGGCGAGGGAGATGAGGACGAGGGAGATGGGATCTGTAATGGATATGAGGCGTCATCAGGCATGCGAGTGAATGAAATATGGGAGGTGGGTGGCCCTTGGCCGATCTCAACGACGCATCGCCTGGTTACTGTCTCAAACGGTTGGCGCCCTAAATTTGAAGACTCGGTCTCGCCTGGAACCTCTCGGCAGGCATGGAGTTTTCAAACTTAGGGCGGGGGGGGTTGGGCGGCGACTCCTGCGCTTGCGCTTGCTCTGGGCTTTCCGCGGGGCCCGCGAGCGAATTATCCAGAGATTGGCCCAGGGTGTGTTTCGCACGCTTCATCCACTGCTCCAGTTTCCCCTTCCTGCCTTCACTTGCTCCTCCTACTTCTGCAGCTGCTGCTTCTCCACTTCAGCATTGGCGCCATTCCCAGCAACAACAGCAGCCCTGCTCGAGACTTCCTCCCTTTCTATTCAGGGCCAGGTCCTTGCCTCACCGCCGACAGCCCCCATCCCCACCAAGGCAATCCCGTCGTTCGATACTCCTTTGTGCTTTACCTTTTGCTGGGGTTCCACTGGCGGTCTCGCATCGGCGCAGCAAGGCGCGGGCATGTGTTTTCGAGGCGGGATATGTTGAAATTCCTCGGAGGAGGTGTTTGCAAGACCTCATTGTGCGGGAGATCTGGGAATGGGAATGACGGACCCCGCTATAGAACAAGAGTCCCCCATGATGTGGATGGTTTTTATGATGGTCGCATGCTTCGTGTGGAAACATCGCGCACGAGGGTAACCTTACTGTTGTTGTTGTTGTTGTTGTTGTTGTTGTTGTAACCCGGGGGCCAACGACAGTTTGAGGAGGAACATATCCGCGGATTCAAATGAACAGGGTGCGAGCGCCGGGAGGGGCACTTCAATTGACAAAAATACAATGTGCACTGGAGGGGGGGATCAACAATGATTATGCTTCAGTAGTGAGAGTTCAACGCAACGAGCAAAATCCTCACCACGGATTCTCACTTCAGCCACGCACCCAGGGACAATGAATGACCGTTCGGCCCCCTCACTCTGACAACGAGCCCGTCGCAGGCGCCGATTTTTCCTCCTAAACAATGTGGATCGGTCGCGGGTGGGTCGCGGGTGGGTCGCGGGTGGGTCGCGGGGTGGGTCGCGGGTGGGTCGCGGGGTGGGTCGCGGGTGGGTCGCGGGTGGGTCGCGGATGGGTCGCAGGGTGGGTCGCGGGTGGGTCGCGGGGTGGGTCGCGGGTGGGTCGCGGGTGGGTCGCGGGTGGGTCGCGGATTGGGTCGTGGATGGGTCGCGGGTTGGGTCGTGGGTGGGTCGCGGGGTGGGTCGCGGGGTGGGTCGCGGGGTGGGTCGCGGGGTGGGTCGTGGGTGGGTCGCGGGGGGGACGACGACAACAGGGGGACGACGACAACAAACAACAGCAACAACAACACCACCACCAACAACAACACCACCAACAACAGCATCAGCAGCAACAGCAGCAGCAACAGCAACAGCAACAACAACAACACAGCAACAACATTACCAACAACAACAACAACAGCAACAACAAGTACAACAAAAACAACAACTACAGCAACAGCAACAGCAACAGCAACAGCAACAGCAACAGCAACAGCAACAGCAACAACACCAACAACACCAACACCAACACCATCAACAACAACACATAACAACAACAACAACAACAACAACAGTGTCTTCGAACCTTGGTGGCGCGCAACGCCTTTTGCAGGTTGGCCTGAGCGGTGCTCCTTGTTTTCGGATGTTATCCTCCTCTTTCCTCCTCATCCTCCTCCTCCTTTCTCCTTCTTTTCTTCCCCCTCTCCGCTCAAGTATGCGGCACGATTTGGGCCACGCTCGCAGGACAGGCCTGCTGCCTGGCTGTAGGTTTGTTCCGTGTTGGTTCCGCTGGTGCGGAACATGCTTTTCGTGAAGGATCGTGAATCTATGGGCATGAAAGATACAACAACCACAACAGCCACAACAACACCAACAGCAACACCAACAACACCAACACGAACAGCAACACCAACACCAACACAAACAACACCAACACCAACACCAACACCACCAGCAGCAACATCAGCAGCGGCAGCAACACCACCATAATCACCACCATCAACAGCAACACCACCCGCAACAACAGCAACACCAACAACAGCAGCAACACCAACGACAATCATGTTCAAACTGATCGCTCTCACTGGCACGCGTGTTGTGCATTCCGTATATACCACCCTTCGATTTCCGCCCATTTCGTCTTCGATTGCGCCTCATTTCGGGGGGGAGTCTCTTCCTTGTCGGTCACTGGCTGAAGGGCGAAGGCATCTCGACAGAGAACGCCGTTCCTGAATTCGGTGACCTCTCTGGCCAGGGGCTCTCGGAATACCTGTGGGGAAATATCGAACGGGAACCCTTGTCACCATGTCTGGCAACAGCAACAACGACAACAACACCAACGACACCCTCATGCGCGATGTTTTTAGACGACGCATGCGACCATCATGATAAACGTCCCCATCATGGGGGATTCCTGTTCTATAGCGGGGTCCGTTATTCCCATTCCCAGATATCCCGCCCAATGAGGTCTTGCAAATTCCTCCTCCTCGCCTTGAAAACGCATGCCCGCGCCTTGCTGCGCCGATGCGAGACCGCCACTGGAGCCCCAGCCAAGGGTGAAGCACAAAGAAGTATCGAGGGACAGGGTTGCCTTGGAAGGGATGGGGGCTGTCGGCGGCGAGGCAAGGACCTGGCGCTGAATAGAAAGGGAGGAAGTCTCGAGCAGGGCCGCTGTTGTTGCTGGGAACGGCGCCAATGCTGAAGAGAGTAGGGCGCTCGTCCAGTGTAAAACAAAACGAAATCTCGAGCGGGAACGGTGGTTTTGTTGGGACGGCGGTTGTCGGCGGCGAGGAGGAACACCGCCTTGAATAAGAAGGGGGGAAGTCTGGAGCGGGAGCCGTGGTTTTGTCGGGACGTGGGCTGTCGGCGGCGAGGAACAGCACCGTCCTGAGACAAAGGGAGGAAACCTCGAGCGGGAGCGTTGTTCTTGCTGGGAGCGGCGCCAATTCAAAAGAGAGTAGGGCGCCAGTCCAGCGTAAAACGGGAGGAAGTCTCGGGCGGGAGCTTTAGTTTTGTCGGGGCGGCGGCTTTCGGCGGCGAGGAGGAGCACCGCCGTGAGTAAAAAAGGGAGGACGTCTCGAGCGGGAGCGTCGTTGTTGCTGGGAGCGGCGCCGATAAGAGAAAGAGTAGCGCGCCAGTCCAAGGCAACACGGGATGAAGTCTCGAGCGGTAGCGCTGGTTCTGTTGGGACGGCGGCTTTCAGCGGCGATCAGGAGCACTGTCCCTGAGTAAAAAATGAGGAAGTCTCGAGCGGGAGCGGTGTTGTTGTTGGGAGGCCGGTTTTGGCGCACCCCCAAACCGCTCGAGCGTGAGCTTCATTTTCAATGACGATGTAGCCGGCGCCGAGGCGAGAGCGCCAAAGCGCCTGAGGGGGTTCAACAATCACATTTGTTTAGTTATTAACATTCATCAACAGCAACAACACCATCAACAACAACAGCAGCAACATCAACAACATCAACAACACCACCACCACCACCAACAACACCACCAACAACACCAACGCAACAAACACAATCTTCGCCACGAGTATTCACTTCAGCCACGCACCC